ATCTCATCACTAATAACCGGTTTTGGCTAAAATCCGAAAATAATTAGCTTTTAGTTTATTTTTAGTAATAAAGTTGGAGTCTATTTAGATTAGGAAATAAATTCAATTTTAGAGTCAAATTAGATTAGGAAACAAATTCAGTTTTGATTCATGATTTGTTTCCTCTATTATAAAAAGTCTTTTTAGGATAGAATTTAATATTTTCTATTTCTTTGTAATTCTAGTCTTACTAGAAGTCTTATTTGTTTTTCTATTTTAGAAGAGTTATGTAACCCCAAAGAATAATAACTTTTAATTAAAAATTAAATTTTGTTTTCTTCAATATCTACTTCGTGGATTCGAAGATTTTTCTTGGTAGATTCCGAGGATATTAGTTCCGAGCTGCGTCAGTTTACTACCATTTCTCAATCTAAAAAACGCCAATAAGTACATATCCATTGCCAATTAAGTAGCTGGACAAAACATAGCTTCTTCTTTCCCCAGAGTAGAAGGAAAATCAATACACAAAAAGAAGTAAATACTCTAGCTATTCTGTGCAAAAAAGAAACTAGAACATATTTATATAGAATCGTGCTGGTCTATACAGCACCTAATCCTTGTTTAATCAAATAAATTCCTCTGTTGACACTTGACATCATGCCACAGATTTGTTCCTTTTTATTAAGGGCCTGTTTGTTTGCCCCAAAAAAAGGGGAAATCAAAGAAATAGAAAACTATTAAATCAAAGAATTATTTTGGGAGTGTTTGGTTTGCTAAAAAAAAAGAAGAAATCAAAGAAATGGAGATGAGTTGTCACCTTATTATAGGATGATGTGAGTGATTTTTTAAAAAAACTTGTTTTGATGTTGTTTGGTTGGCGAAAAAAATAAGGAAATGAATTATAAGAAACCAATTTCTTAAAAAAGTTTGTTTGGTTATTTCTTAAAAATAAGAAAATAGATGAGCTGAGATGAGTTGTCATTGTATTATTGGGTGATGTGATCCAAGATTAAGAAAAGTGTTTTCACAACTTTTTGGGATGAAAACAAATAAATGAAATCTTAATGAGATGAGATGAGTTGTCACAATCTTATTGGATGATGTAGGTGATTTTTAAATATGAGATGAGATGAGTTGAGTGATGTTGTTGATGAAAATAATATTTTATTAGATGTGGTGGATGTGATGGATGAGTTGTTGGATGAAAATAATATTTTATTAGATGTGGTGGATGAGTTGTTGGATAAAAATAATATTTTATTAGATATTGTGGGTGAGTTTTAGGGATGGAAATATGTGAAATTGTACTTTTGGAGATTTCTTGCTTTTCATTTCCATTTTTCGGTTTTTTGGGAAATAACCAAACATGCCCTAAAAGAAACAACATATTACTTAATTAAAGCATCATCTTCTTCATTAAAAAGTCAGTGCACATGCCAAGCCAAGACAATGATATTATCTACTCTATTTATGGTATTATTTACATTGGTAATATGCTAAAATTAAGAAAATCCTATAAAATAGATGGCTAACTTTTAAAGAGTGCAAAAAAAAGTCAGCCCCCAACAAACGAACGGCTACTTGTCAAAAACTTCTGGTAATAAACTAGTCCTTCAAATTTTATATTTTGGAATAGAAATCTTGGAAACGGTATTACCAAAAGTTACACCAAATGAACTCATCCTAGTTTTTTCTGTTAAATCTAACTGGGATCTGCTTATTAGCTATTTAATAAGGGGCTCTTTGGTTCACCTATTTTATAAAAAAAGTTTTGAGGGAAAAAACTATTATGGTATTATCGTGAATAATAGGTTTATATAGATTTCTATAAAATATGTTTGGTTCCAAAAAATCTATCAAAGTATTTTCTATAAAGTAAGGAAAAATGTATTCTTTTAGGGGGTGTTTGGTTGCATTGTTTTTGAGAAATGTTTTCTCAAAAAGTACAAACAATGACATTTCTGTAATTACGAGTTTTCTATAGATTTCTACAAACTGTGTTTGGCTCAAAAAAGATTTACAGAAATGTTTTCTGTAAAGTATAGAAAAGTACCAAAATTTATAGAAATTGATTTCCTTCTAAAATGGGCGGAAATCTCTTGGAAATCTGACGCATTCATTATTTAAATAATAAAACTCATTAATACTTTTCTATAAAGTTCTCACTTTTCTATAAAGTTTGTGGTGTTTGGTTACATTTCTATAAATTATAGGAAATGTTGCTATTTTTTCAAAAGTTATGAGTCGTTTTCTTGTTTTGAACCAAACAAGCACAATACAAAAAATAAGAAAATTTGTACTTTTTAACTTCTTAAAACTTTTCCTATAATTTTTTTAAGAAATACGAGGAAATTAAATTTTGGATGGAAAACATTTCCTATAATTTATAGAAATGTAACCAAACACCCCCTTATAGAAATCAATTTCCTCCCCAAATGGGAGGAAATTACAAGTAAATCTGACATTTATGTTAAAATAGTAATAAAGTACACCCGTACCACTTTTCTATAAAATTTGAAATTGCCTAGAAATTGAAAATTACCTACATTCTTGTACACTTTTCACTTTTCCATAAAATTTTCTTATCCAACCAAATAAAAGAAAAAGAAAATAACTTATTTTCTATAAAGTTAGGAACTCAAGTTCATGTTTTGAACCAAACAAAGAAATAGCAACAAACAAGAAAAGTAGTACTTTTTGAGTTCTATAAACTTTTCCTACAGTTTTTTTTATAGAAATACAAGTAAATTAATTTCTTAACACTTCCTTTCTTTTTCTTTTTTCATTTATAGAAATCAAGCCAAACAGCCCTTGAATGTAACTCCATTCGGATAATCTCTCTCTTTACTTACAACAATAGCGATAGACAAAAATAATAACATTAGTAGCGATGAAGCAATGACAATGAGAATCAACAATTGCTTTATGGCTTGTTTGGGAACATTTATGAGATGAAGTTATTCACTCTAGCTCGCCATTGTGCACCCTCTAGTAACATGAAATTTACAATGCCCCAAATTGAAGTGTAATAAAGTGGAAGGAATTTTTTCCCTTCCATTCTTCTCTCTTTCCTAGTTTTGCTTAACTTCCGTTAACTCCATTCAAATCCAAACATGCCCTTAGGGAAATTGATGCTGGGATGAGGTGAGAGGGATGAAGATAGCACGCGAAATGTGAAAACCGACTGCAATCTTATATAATTTAATAGATTTACTAGAGCGACTTATTTGGTGTAATTTGCAAGATTCAAAAGTTTTATATCATAAATTATTAAATTAAATATTTTGGGAGATTTAAAAAAAAATTTCCCCTCAATGTTCTTATCTTCTGGGGACCAATCCTTCTAAACTTTTTAAAAAACAAAACTTTCAAATTCATTTCCCCCTCTCGCATAGTGACCGTTTACTAACCGTTTATGATGAGAGATCCCCAGAGAATCATGGGCCAAATGGGCCCAATGCTTGACCTCTTCTACATTCTAGGTCTAGGTGTTTGAACCACCATTGCCATGATGATCACGTGCGGGAGGGGGAGTACAAGTGAAGTCTGAAGAATGTCTTTTTGTGCCTTGCAAAGGCCTAACAACTCCCTCCGCACCAAATCAAACGACAGGCCCACCGCTCACTAGCTACTCTAATGACTTTTGCTTAGTGCAAAAAAACAAGTAATTACCTAAAAGTTATCTCTAAATAAGGAGCACTTTTCCAAGTTTGGATGAAAATTTTCAAAATATTAAAGTGGCTTAGTTTCACCCTGGTACTGAAAAGTTTTACCCATTTTGTACTTCGATCCACTCACCTCCAATGTTTCAATTCATTTCACCTTGATACGCCGTTCAAATATTATTAGGTTTTTTTTCCTGATAAATTTGTACCGCATTTAGGCCCGTTTTGTCCAGTTGTTAGGGATCGAAACAACAAAATCCCTATAGTAGTGAGGAACAGGTTGGATACGATGATCTATTATTGCACATGTTGAAGAAACCGTGAAGAAATTTGGCGAAGAACAAGTTTTGGGACGCATGAGTCAGTTTGGGAGATGCGCGGTCGATCGCGGTGCAAGGCCGGTCGACCGCGAACGTGCACAGACTGATGGATTGTGTCTGGATTTGGCGCGGTCGACCGTCACGGTCGACCGCGAGACCCTGTAGGATATTTTTGGGCTCTGTCGTTTGTCGTGGTCGACCGTACCAATACACGTTCTAGGGTTTCTTAAGGCTTGAGTTTGGGATATTTGGAGCACAGAAAAGAGGTATTTTCTGAGCTATTTGTTTAGGGTTTATTTGGAGAGATTAAGAGCTTTGTGGTGAGATTGGTTTGTTCGTTCGAGTGATTTATAATCTTAATTTGTACTCTTTTCTCTATTAGTGAAAAACTCCATCCCCTTCTTGCCCCGTGGACGTAGGCAATTGCCTAACCACATTAAAATTGGTGTTTTGCGTTTGTGCATTGATTGGTCGGTTTTGTCTTCTCGAACGTCGTTTGGTTTGGTTCCTCGACGCGGATCCCAACACATGTGATATAAGTTTGACAGAAAATCTAACGAAATATGAACGGAAGTATCAAAATGAAATGAGATCTAAATATCGGGTATCAAATTGAAAATTAGGATAAACTCTAGAGTACCAAAGTGCAAGTAAGGGTACTAAACTCCAAAAAAAATGGCTGTGGACGTTAGCCCTGCTGCTGTGTGGAGGTTGTAAAAGTTCACTAGACCTTCTATCCAAATTTCAAAAAAAAAAAAGGTACATCGGAAACTACACTCTGCTTTAAAAAACTCATGAAATAACCCAGATGAATTTGCATCTTTACCTGAGCTTAAGACTAGCAATTACCCTTTTTGTACCCAAAAGTCCTCTAACGGCTACTAGCATTAAGGCCAAAAGAGTGCACTTAAAGTAGCTAATTACAAAATTAATACAAAAGAAGATGAAGAGAAACTCTCTCTCTCTCTCTTCATCTTGTGACCGTTCCCATGATACACGCACCCCCATTTAAGGCCAAGCACGCTCAGCTCATGTCATAGAGAGAGAAAGAGGAGAGAAATTGAAAAGAAAAGGGCGCTCCTTTGCTCTCTCTCTCTCTCTCTCTCTCATAGAAATCATGTGTTGAGCTAGAGCTCCAAGCAATCATAGCAATCTCCAACCTCCATTAATAAACAAAACGAAGGAAGGAAAACCCATAAAAATCCCCACTGGAAATGATTCAAATGAACCACTTCTTATGGACAACTCACCATCCAGAAGCCACCACCACTGCCTCCCATTAACAAAACCCTCATCAAACCTCAACCCATTTGCGCTTTTGAGCTACTGGGTCTCAAAATCCCTGAAAAAGCCAAGATTCCCAAATGGGTGTGTGTTGAAAAGCCCTGTTTCTTGGAGCTGCCCTGTTTTTGGGCAGATTGAGGGGATCAAAATGGAGAGTAATTTGATTGAGGGAAGTGGGTTTAGAGAGAGCGAGGAGTATAGTGAGTCCACTGAAGCGGGGAGCAGAGACAGCAGTTCGAGCACTGAGGCTTCGTCGAGCGAAGAGAAGCAGAGTTGCGATGAGACTGAGGAAATCTCCGAGGAGGTTGCTGACTTGGGTTGGCCAGTGAAGAAGAATTCGGTTAATGAGGAGAAAACCCTTGTTGAACAGGGGAAGATCGATAAGCCCAAGCCAAGTGTTTCAGGTATTTAAGGTTTAGATCTGAAATT